ATGTGGCAAGCCTCTTGCTGCTCTATCGCTACTTTAATGGAAAGTGCTTGGATAAACTACATTCCTTCAGGTCTAACTTTTATGGTAAAGACCCACCATGCTATGCATATTGTAGCAAACCACCCACATTTTTTCCATATTCCATCGATCCAAACCACTGTTCTGTGGAATTGACACCCAGGGGATGTTTCCCTGATCACTACAATCTTAACCTGTTTAAGTCTAGGCTTAACAGTTATCTTCCCCTCCTATCCATACAAACTGCCTCCTAATCTAACCTCTACCTTGTGCGGACCCTGGGCCTTATACAGGGTCAACCTTACTATATAACAAAATAAAAGAAAGTCTCTTGCTACTACTTATTCCACACCAATAAAGTCACACTGTCAGCCAAGCCAAAAATGACGTTTACCCACAGGAAGATTAAGAACTGCCAGAATAATCATGTGTATGGTTATCTTGAAAATTAAAGTTAAACATTAAGTCTGCGAGATGGCTTATTACTGAAAAAGATAAGGAAGAGCAATGATATTTCTAAATCTAGACTATAGCTCATAGATTTGAGAGAGTCTCAGCCAATCTATGTAAAGGTTCACTTACATGTTAAAAAAATATAATAAGCATTTCACCTTATTTTTTCTTCGAGTTTATCTAAGCCATGGCTTTGTTATATTGTGTATGTCAAGTAAATCCAACTAGATGAATTTAAGTGTGCTACTAGATTGGCATCTAGGTCCCATCCATTTACTGCTGAAATAGCTAAACATAAGTGCCCCTTCTACATCAACAATTTTTTTTTGTACTTCCCAACTGTGGAACTAACTTCTGATTGCTTCCCTGATAACTATAATCTTCAAAAATTTAAATGCAACATCAATTGCCATCTTCTAAATTCTTGAATCCCTTTCATCTTTTTTCTTTCTTTCAATCCTCCCTATACTCAATTCTCACTTTCACTCCCCATAACCCCTCTATGTACTAGTGGCATTTCTGCCTTGCTTGCAGTGATATGATTTACAAAAAAAAATAAAAAAAATAAAAAAAAATAAAAAAACCATGTAACCTAGTACTGTCTGTTGCATTGTTGGGTCATCTGCAACTAAACTAGTTCCCCCACCAGGCTTTTCTGGTGATTAGGGTTGTGACACCCAGTAGGATTAAAAACAAGACTTGTCAATGGGCGGATGAATCTTTTTATAAGTTAATGGCTATGTAGTACAATGGGGTAAACTGGGAAATAGCTACATATGCAGGCAATGTGGTGATGACGCCTCATTGCTATGTGGAGAACATCCTAAAATGAAGTTAACAGAGAGAGCAGTGAGTTATCCTGATTGAGTCAATGACTACGTGTCAGTGACTAAAGCAAACTTTCCAGTTATAGACATCAGTGGTTTGACCTGGAGAGAGATGACCTCCACCAGGTTTACTTGCTCAAATCATGCTATGCATGAATGAATAACACTCCAGTTTTCAATGCAGATATGTGGAGGAAAGTGGTCAGGTGCTCAGCTGTACAGTGACCCTACAACCACACCCAGTCAGGTGTAAAGGCTGCAGATTTACAAGGTATTAAAATCAAAAAAGACATTTTTGAGACCTCTGCCTAAGTTTTTAATGACAAGGTATGGAAATTAAAGAAAAAACTGTCTGGTTTATATGATGCTTCTAGAGCTAGATCTATGCTTATTAGAGATTAACTTATCCAATTTTCTGTTAGGATATGTTTTTTTTTTGGATAATTCATGGTTTCTGTGGTGCAACAATGGTAGATTTACTTTTAATGTTTATGACTTCCTTTGAAGTGGTGCTAAATCATCTGAAAAACGTAGGTTCACCTATCACGTGGTTCACACCCCTTCCCCAGTCTTTAGAATAGGAGCAGAGGTTTATCTCATTTCCTGTTTAGAATTGGGTTTCCAATTCCTTCTAAAGTCTACTTCAACTTTATACTTCTAACGACTCTGCCTGAACTCATTTATTTACTAATTATTATTATTTTTTTTTTAATATTTTGTTCCTAAATAGGAGTATGTAAGTTCACCTATCACCCTGTTCACACACTTCCCCAGTCTTTAAAACAGAAGTAGAGGTTTATCCCCTGTTCTTTGTTTAAACTGGGTGTCTGGTTCCTTCTAAAGTATTTTCATTCTCTTTCACTCCAAGTAACCACTTGTGTCTTAGTGGCATTATCGCCTGGCTTGGGGTGAATGGATTAAAAAAAAATTAGGAGGTATGTTTTTGATTGGAAGTATTGCATCTAGATCATTTAAGTATATTGGGTTTAACATTATCTCAATTGTAGAGAAATTTCCATATTTGCAATCTTTATCTCCTGGTTTTATCAGTTGTCTGTTTGTGGTTTGAATGTGAAAAAGTTGATTGCCAAGCCCTGATTGGTCAAGCTTCTCACAGTAGACTTGATATTGCTTTCAACTATATCCTACAAGAAAACAGCTATTAGCAATTTATTAAATTTGATTAAGTTGGTAATCTGTTTGACCAATTATAATATAAATTTGTTCTTCCCTAAATCCCATTAAACTGAACCCTGTTCATTTGAATCCTATTCAGATGGTTTTCTTTTTTGTACATTTTCCTAATGGAAATTCTCAAGGAACTGACAGGATATTGTTAAAGGATGAGAAAGGTCAGCATTGTCCTATTTACTGGCAAAATAGATAAATTCAATGAGTTGTCAAATCAACCTTGTCTGCTGAGACAAGGGCATTAGCTGTATATGCAAAGACAGCAGTTTGCAATGTCTTTTTATCATCCTGGAAATGTCATACTGTCAGAATTAATTGCATAGTAGATAACAAGAGTTTGGTTGATACTTTACACTCAACCCTACTCATTAAAACACAAACAATTCTAAGTGCTAATTAAATTTACAATAAATGCTTTCCCCAATGGTCCACTAGAAAAATGAGATCCAGAGTACTTCCAGTATGCAAGTAAAATCCAAATTACTTGGCTTTGCTATTTAGGCTTCTTACATTTATTTATCAAGTCACCAGGTAAAAATTCACATACTGGTAAAATCCACACCAATAACTTTGTTACATTTCCTCCTCAACCACTTGTAATTAACACTACATGTTAGATTAGAACCACAGGAATTCTCATTCTAATCTAGCAACAATTATAGATCCAATTACTGGTAAAATCTACAACAGTAGCTCAGTAGATCCCCAAGAGGTTTTCACGATATTTTTAAAAGACAAGAAATGACAACATTGTTCATTTTACTGATAAAATAGAGAATAAATTTGATGAGTTGTCAAATTAACCTGATTTACTGAGACAATAAATAGTCTTACTTGAATATGCAGAGAGAACAGTTTGATTTGCCTCTAATATTTGGCAGATATCTACTGAAGCAATGGCCTTACATGAATATCCAGAGTCAGAATTTTGTATAGCCTCTAAAATATGGCAGATATTTACTAAATTATAGCCTTACTTGAATATGCAGAGACAGCAGATTGTATTGCTTCTAATATCTGGTAAATATTATACTGTGTGTCAGAATTGATTTTATAGTTCAAAAGTGCTTGTTAGATATTGAAAATAGTAGACTGAAAATTGATACTACTGTTCTGATAGATATGCTAAAAAGGAAAAGAAATAATATTTCTTGGGTATATTGAAAATGCAAAACAACAATTTTCTATACCTCTAACATCTGGCAGATATCTACAGATATAAAGGTCTTGAATATTCAGAGATAGTAATTTGTATAGCCTCTAAAGTTGGTGGGTATCCACTATGGCAATAGCCTTACTTGAATATGCAAAAGAGCAGTTTGAATAGTCTCTAACATCTGGCAAATATCTACTGAGACAATAGCCTTACTTTAATATGTAGAGAGAGCAGTTTGTATAGCCTCTAACATCTGGCAGATATCTACTAAGCCTTACTTGAATATGCAGAGATATCAGTTGGCATTACTTCTACCATCCGACAGATATCTACTAAGGTAATGGCCTTACTTGAATATGCAGAAAGAACAGTTTTCATTGCCTATAGCATCAGGCAGATATCTACTAAGGTAATGGCAATACTTGAATATGCAGAGACAGGTTTGCATTGCTTCTAACATCTGGTAGATATCTACTGAGGTAATGGCCTTATTTGAATATCCAGAGCCAGAAGTTTGTATAGCCTCTAACATCTGGCACATATCTACTAAGATAATGACCTTACTTCAATAACCATAGAAAAAAAATGAAAACTGACCATGTTTTTGGAAGTATTGATAACCAGACAATTCAATGAATAAATGGACATGAACTCCTTTACCACAATGTAACTGCAATAAGTTGTTTTTATGTAAGAGTAGTTCTAAATTATTGCACACTATTTTTGTATATCCTAACATCTGGCTGATATCTACTGAGGTAATGGCCTTACTTGAATAAACACAGAGAACAGTTAGCATTTCCTTTAACATCTGGTAGATATCTACTCAGGCAATGGCTTTACTTGAATAAGCAGAGATAAAAGTTTGCATAGCCTCTAACATCTGGCAGATATCACTGTTAGCGTGTCTTGATTTTACAGTAGATCAAAGAGACTGCTAGATATTGATAACTGAAAATTGATGATGCTGTTCCGATTGATATACTAAAAAGGAAAAGCGATAATATTTCTTGGGATGGACACTTCACAGCAACTTATGCTGCTTTATCAAGAAATAAGTGTCCACAAAACAGCTACAGGGCAGATATTAAGAAAAATTATAGCAATAGATTTTTTAATCATTTATAAAGATTGATCTTGAACATAGGGAAATGCAGATATTAAAACACAGAAATGCTAGTATATAAATTGTTTCAGTGAAAATGATGAGGTGGAAGCTATATTGAGATACAGCGTGGTTCCAGTTTGATGTCACAAAATGGTCATAAACGAGACAGCCATATTGGATTTGTTGCTGATCTGAGAAAAGATATTCAATGTTGATGATAGATTGAAATAAAAATCTGTCAACTTACTTTTGATAATTATCACAGTTACTGAAGTAATCAACCAAGCAAGCCATCATGTAAGTTTCTGCAATAGAAGAAAAAAAAAAAAAAAAAACTGAGCATGTTTTTGAAAGTGTTGGTAACCAGACAATTCAATGAATAAACCGACATGAACTCCTTTTCCACAATGTAACTGCAATAAGTTGTTTTTTTTATGTAAGAGTAGCTCTAAATTATTGCACACTATTTTTTTCCTCTTTGACTTTACAAATTTAAGCACAGGTTGGCAGTTAGGTCTCATCATTTTACAGTTTAAATTGCTAGATGTAACCATAAGTTCTATGCTAACAGTTTCACACTTCTTACTTGTAAAACTTTCTTTCTGTATTGCTTTCCAGTCATCTTTGATCTTCAAAAATTTAAATGCAATTTCAGTTTTTATGTTCTGTCTTCTTAATTCTTGTTCTTTTATTTTTCTCTCACCTTAATTTTTTTTCCTCATATTCTCTAACACTCAGTGATCTCTTATGTCTTTGTGGCTTTATTCCCTTGCTTGGGATGAAATAATTAAAAAAAAAAAAAAAAAACACTTTTTACAAGTTTTCTTAAAAAGTGAAGAGTGAAAGTACCAGTAATATTTTTCTTAGTTAAGACAATTCTCACATCTGCCATACTGGTAAAAAAATATTAGAGCCATGGTATTTCCAACAGTTATGATTAATTTCTAATTAGTGTTTCTTCTGATTTCTGTTGCTTTTTCATCACAATATTTTAACCATTGTTCTACAGTCAGTAATTATTATTCTGCAAGGATTGGAAAGAAAGAATGCATCCCTTTCTTCTGAGACAGTTGCATTGGCAATTAGGTCTGGAGGTACCTGGTTATAAATGATCAAAGCTAACTTAAAGCTTTCATTCTTTATTTTTCATGAATATCAAATTCGCCTACATTTTTAATGTATAAATACACTACTGGTATTATTATATTGAATTTACAAAAAAATAAAAAACAAACCAAAAATCAACCAAAATAAGATTAAAGAAATACTGTTCAAAAATTAATACATTGTAATATTTCATTTAAAAATAAACTCAAGTTAATACTATTACACCTCTGCAGTTCATGATAATGGTACAAGGTTAATTAGCATTGCAACCTTTTTAAAATAGGGATATATCATAAAAATAATCAAACTAATGATGTTTCATCTTAACCCATTAAGGTGCCATCTCATTTTTGAAACAGTGGGCTATTAATGGTTATCTTGAGAAATCTATAATTTTTCTTTGTTTTCTTAGTAATTTATAATTACTGAGACATTTTTTAAAGAAACCTATAATCAATAGGTGATTTTTTAAAAAAGAAACCTATAATTAAAGGGAATTATTTTTATGAAACCTTTAATACTAGATTTTTTAAGAAGCATATAATTATGTTTTTTAAAAGAATATAAAAAGGTTTTTTAAAAAAAACCTATAATTAATACTAGATTTATTTTTAAGAAACCTATAATTAATAGGGTATTTTTAAAAGAAAACTATAATTAAAGGTAGATTTTATGTTAGGAAATAAATGAGTTAAAAGCAACTAAACTTCATATAATTAAATTAAAATGCATTATATGGTGTGGGAGACATTAAAAATTATCAGTTCAACAAAGCGAGTAAAAAGATGTGATCTTTGCACAGATTTCAAGAAGTGGCTTAGGTTAAAATCTTTCCAGTCTTACTTTTAGGTATTCTATAATTTTATATAAATATCATAAGTCTAGACTCCTCCCTTCAAATTTCAACTACATTTAATAAGATAAAAAAAATTCAATACCTATTTCAAAGTTTAGTTTCACTAAAATGAAATATAAATTATTTGGAAGACAAGAAACGAAGTCTATGAACAACAGAATTATACACCGGAGAATGAATCTCATTATTATTTGTTTTTGATGTGGCCACTGAAGTGCAGTTATGCTATTCAATAGTTTATGACTATTAGTTGATCTCTTTGACCTTCTGTACATTTATAAAATCAACTAAATAGTTAATATGACTCATTAAATATCCAGAATAATTATTTTTGACAAAAGTTAATGCTATTAAAACTTAACTTATTAAAAATTTGCATTCAATATTTCAAAGTTTCTCTTTAATATATTATTATTGTTGTTTAAATAAATACTTACAATCATTAGGATTCAAGACATCTTCCATAAAAATCATTTTAAAATTTCTTCCCAAAGAAATGTTTTATGACAAGCTATATTTTTTTAAGATTTTCTTTTATCACTTTTTTAAATCTCAACCTAGAGGACAAAGTAAACAAGAGATTATTCTAAAATCAGACTTTAAACTATAATGCCATCTTGTAACTATCAGTTCAAAACAGAGGATATTGTATTTGTCATCTTTCCTTCCATGCCAGAAAAAAAGTTTTACAAGAGTATTTTGGTGGTTATTTCTCATCTTAACTCATAGCAACCGTAAAACTTTAAACTTCAATATGTAGCCTTTCATTCATAAAACTAATATGTAAGATGAAGAGTTGTATTGTGGTATCCATCTTACAAGAATGTAGATAGAGGACTTGATAGTCAGCAGTTATAGACCATTGCTATATCAGAAATTTAAAATAAAAAAAAATGCAAGATAGAAGACAGAAGCTGCTAAAATTAAAAATGGTTACATTTATATATCTCAAACACTATGACAGTTCATTCATTATAAATGAACAATTCCAACATTAAGAGACCTAAACTGATCTGGAAAAATAACACTATACTTTACAAAAAAAGAAATAAAAAAAGTGAAATAAAAAATTTTGATGAGCAGCCATTCTCTGCCAGGGTGTGGACTGGGTCTAGAATTCATTAAAATGATAAAACAAGAAAAAACAGTGCATGAAAGAAAGTAAAAAAAAAAAAAAAAAAATGAGTCTTTATATTTTAATGACATGTACCAAAACAAAAATACAAACTTTATTAATAGCTCAAAGGAGATCCATGATCGTCAACACCCTGAAGATACATGACACAAGTATTTCCCTTATTCATCTGGTTAAGCATTGATATAAAGTGTCTATGCAGGCTTAACATGAAGAAATCACTTCATGTGGACCAGATACAGAACAACATTGTCAGAGTCAGTTAAAAAATAAAAAAATAAAAAGGTTGTTAATAGAAAATATGATGCCTCTAAAATAACAGGATTACAAATCCATTCAAGGAAATCACTGAATGAAAAGAAGTCTGGATTTGAAATCCATAGGTCTATGGTCTAATTTTTGGTATGTTTAGCCTTATGAATATATCAGAATTTAACATTTATCATGTTTAGCCTTAGAAATAGGTTAAAAACACAAAGTATTTAGACTATCATTTTTTAAATGATAGATTGAAATGTATGGATGTGGAAGCAGTATAATGATTATCAGTGCAGAAAGTGGATTTGGCATGTCAAGTTCAAATACTGATGAAGTTTGGTTCATTCACTTCACTATAATGTCCTTGGAAAAGGCATATGATTGCATCTTTCTCTTGGCTAGCAACCAATCTAGGAGAAGGACAACTCTGAAGTCAAAACCAATCTAAAGAGACCATCCCAGTCATGTCATTTTACTTTAAACACACCTATTGCTACAGTATACATGTAACCCCAATGATCCTAAAGGGTTACAAGACCATGAACCTTAAAAAGTAACTTTCTATATTTCTTCATGTGCACAAAGATTGTTGAACAATAACAGAAGGAACTATGTTGTAAAGTGACATATGCATTTGTTCTTCATCAATGGAAATAAAAGGTGTATGATAGAAATTGCCTTTACTTTTTTTTTTTTTTTTTTTATTTACCCTCGTAGTTATTAACTTTAGTACATAAGTATGTCTTTCTTTCAAAAGTAACTCTATTGATTACCATCAAATTAAGTATGTAATCTAAATATGGAAGTTTGGTAACAATGGATTGATGCTTAAAAAAAAAAATTCTACCACAAAATTTGAACCCAAAGTCAATGGCAAAATAAAAGTAGATTTCCACTCAGTTAGGAACTCTGCCTTGAGAGACTATTGAGCCTTAAACTCACACTTGACCTCAAATGTAGCTCATACATATGAGCCATTGCTAAAGATGAAGGTAAAATGGTCGGCTCCCTGTAACACTCTAGTAAGTACCTGACTCCATGCACTATCCTCTACCTTTACAATAGAGTCAGATCATACCAAGAATTGAATACTGTTGTTATATTTGAGTGGGAGGTGCCCAGATAGAATTTTCTAGCTTTGATAGAATCCAAAGCATCTAAGAGTCCTTGTGAGTGACAAATTATTTTCCACCCTTTAACCTCTCTCTCACAGGCAGGATGTGGCAAGCCTCTTGCTGCTCTATCGCTACTTTGATGGAAAGTGCTTGGACAAACTACATTCTGCCAGGTTTAACTTTTATGGCAAGGACCCACTATTCCATGCACATTGTAGCAAACCACTATATATTTACATATTCCATCAGTCCAAACCACTTTTACCTTTTTTTTTTATTTACCTTTGTAGTTATTAACTTTAGTATATGGGTACGTCTTTCTTTCAAAAGTAACTGTATTGATTACTATCATCACTCTGCTAAAGTGTTGCTTTGTTACTGTCTTTTCATAAATCGTCAATCTTTCTTCTGCTCATTCTAGCTTTCTAATGAGTTTCTGCCTCTAGCAAAAGCAAATCATTCCTTCTTTCCAATGTCCATATCATTTACAGATGTCTTTAAAATGAAAATGTAGTCAACTTTATGCCAATTTGCTGGTGAGCTTTTTCCCTGGACAGTAGGTCTTACAAAATCCACCCATCTGAGGCATGATCTATGTGACTCAACCAGCAAAGGTGCTGCTGCTGGAGCAAGGGAAAGAGGCCAGGCACCTGAATGTGACTGAGGATCTCAGCTATGCAAGCAATTAATAAACAAGTTGTTATAGTAAGAGCCAGTTACTCTCCTTACTATCATGAATGGACTGATCCATTCATGATAAGTAGTCCTGGGTAATTGTCTTAAGAGAAGGTAATACTAGTGCAGTGACTTGTCTCACTGAGTATTGAATACTACTATGATGACAGATTTTGTAGAGTTAAGTGTTGTGTTTTTCCAGACCCCTCATCACAACACAAGTCTTAAACAAATCATAATAGATAAAGCCACATAATAAGAGCCTAACAAATCAACTTGTAATACTTGACTTTCAGTGGCTTTTGAGATATATTAATTTAATTGCATTAACATTACATATTCAGATTTTTTCAACAATTCATTCAGGACTCCAGAGAAGGGTTAAGAAACTATGCAATAATGACTGCGGACCAGTAATATTCAGCAAATCTCTCCCATGAAAACACTTACAAATCCTACCAAATTTGAATGCGAGATCTGGTAAAGGTATTTGCTTTCTTTGTTGAAACTTATAAGGCCAACAGTATATTCTGTTGATAATTTTTGAAACCTTGAGAGCAGTTTAAATTGCTAATCATTTTCAATGAATGTTGGTCCTTTTAACAGTCAGATAAATATGTATAATTAATAAAATTGATTTCCCATATTGGAAAATAAACTATCTCCATGTAATTCTCATACTGAGCATTAGGCTTCAAAAATTGCCCCCTCCCTCTCCTGACAGAGTGCATGGCATGAACTTAAAAGATTAAATATGACTAACTTGAATTTAGGTTTAGATATTTAAATACTAATGGCATAAAGACTATTTGGTATTTTAATTTATTCTGCTAGGAACATCATCTCCCCAAATTTATAGACAAATCCTACAGATGCATGCTGGGATTTCTTCCTGACCAATAAAAATATGGACAATCCCCCACATTTTTGTTCTTTCTTGCTTTGAAGTCAGAACACTATAACCATTTGACTGTATCCCTTTTGCATGTGAACACAATTTTTACTTTGTGTATATTTGTCTTTGCTTAATTTTGATTTGCATTTATATATGTTTACTTAGTGTTATTTTACCCTGTTCTTTTTCCTCCTCTTGTTTGTTGAAAATTTTGCCAATTATATTTAACTGTGGCAAATTATTCCATAATTCTTTTAAATCTTTTTAACTTGTAAAGGAGGTAAAAGTAGACTCTAAGCAAATTTAAATTCAGTTTTACAAAATGGCTAATGAAGGTAATGTTAATTGTTTTTAGCACTTATTAACATTCAACTTCCTTTATGATTAGAAATTTTCAAAAAGAGAACTTGTAGTAATACTAACACTATTCTTAACTGTTGTTTGTATAAATGTATGTGCAATAATAAAATCTTATTCATAACTGATACTGAGGATGGAGAAATACAGAAAAAAAAAGTGTTAGGTACATGAAGTTCTTTTATTTAATTCTCATCCAGATGAGAAGTTACCATTCTGTCAGATCCAGCCAAAAGGGACCTAATTTCCGACACCTTGTCTCCCCTTTGGGAGAGGGCTGGTTGTTGATCCTCAGCAATTGAAGCATGTCCCCATAAGAGGGAATTGCAGAGAGAGCCAGATTATTTATTTTAACCTCTGGTCCCATGTACAATTTGGATGCCCATGATAAAAAGGTCTCATTTTGGACAAAGCAGGCATTTGATTAAATACTCTCAATTGCTTCAAAAGAGAAAAATCAATGTCCAATCTTAACTTTTTTGAGCTGTTTCTAATTTATTCCTTATTGTTCGTAAAATACAAAGAGAATATACAGATATCAATATTGGGATAAATTATTATACTCAGCAATATATTTCACACCTATGCAAGTTATAAACAAAAAGTTGCAGTAACAAGAGTATAACAAGAATAAATGAGATACTTAAATTTTATTAGCTTACTCAGAAATTTTAATCATTTTGAATTCGTTTTCATTATATTTTGCATAAGGTTAAATAAAGAGATAAGTATCCATAACAACCAAAAAGAAAAATGCCACTTCTCTTCAAGGCTTATACAATTTCCCCATATTTAAAAGAAAGTTTCAAAATATATAGTTTACACAATAATCATCTTCTATGTGTTATATCCCTTCAGAAAGTCCTCTCCACAGCTTCCTGTCCTTTTTAGGTCTAACTTTTGTCTTTTCACTATCTATCCTAATCTCTGATCTGCCAACCATTTACACAAGATTGTTAAGTTACTGTTCCTTTGTCCCTCTTGCCTTCAATATGTCTGTGAGTGTCAAATTCTCCAAGCTCTCTTTCCTCTGTCCCTCTTGCCTTCAACATGTGATGTGAGTGTCAAATTTTTTTAAGCCCTCTTTCCTCATTATGTGCAGCTAGAAATTTGTGTAAGTATCCTACCAAAAATCTTTTTACTCTTTAAAAACAAATATTTTTATTCATTTTATTCTTTTAACACCAAAAACATTCTTTGCATTAAATGACCTACAAATGTCATGCTGTAAAAATCAATCAATCAATCAATCAAACAACTTTAAAGGACAATGCAATATAATATGAAGTTCATAACCTGCAAAAAAAATTTAAAATGAAAAAAGTTATTGCCAGTCAGTTGTAAAATCTGTGGCATGCTCTGCTGTATTTAATCTGCCAAAATTTAAGAGTGTATCTGTCAGTGATTGCACCTTGACCACTGCCTTGATCAGTCTTGTGTATTAAACAGCAGTTAATAGACACTTACCTGGAAGGTGAAAGAGAGTGTTGAGAACATAGCACCTATTATCATCAAGTTGGATAAATCTGTTTGGATAATATTCAATAACTTCATGGCTGAAAATTAAACAATTAGAGTTCACTTGAATATCCTGGAAACCATATGGGCAATGAGATAATTTGATAAAGCAATAAGTTGTCTTGGTGAATCAGACCTATAAAAGAATTAATCATAAGAGACACTGATAGTCTTATTTAGCCTTAAGAGAAATTATACAAAAAGGTTCCAATTTAATTTTCCTTCAGGTTATAGAGGCAATGAAAACAAATTGATTTTTATATGATTACCTTCAAGTTCATAAAAATTTCATAAAAAAAAAGTTTGTAACCAAGTTATAAAAGCAGTAAATTGTTGGTATGGGCTCTGATTTATTTGTCCAAACTCATATTGTAAAATTTAAATACTCTGGTTAATTTGAATTTATATAATGCTACCTGGGTATAACAGAAGAAAGTGATGTATATTTTCAAACATAGCAACTCTGATATAATGTTCATAAAATTCTAAATGAATAGACTTTTTATTTAAATAATTCTTCTTCTATGTGCCATGTCCCTTCAGGATGTTGGCGATCATGGCTCTTCACAATTTCCTGTCCTTTGTAGCTCTTAGTAAATTTTGTCATCATTATCTTCCCTAAAGCCTGTTCTGCAATCCATATACACAACACATTAGGTAGGCTATGTGCTATTTTCCTCTGTCCCTCACTATGTCCTGTGAGTATCAAATTTTCCAAGTCTTCTTTCCTAATTATGTGCCCTAGAAAATTCAACTGTCTCTCCCTGATATGAAGTATAAGTGTCCTTTTTGTTTCCATTTTCTCTAGAATTTTGTCATTGTTCACATGTTCAGTCCATGGTACTCTCAGCATCCTTCTGGAGAACCATATTTCTGTTGCTTCAAGTCTCTTTTTCATCTGTGAGCATTCACTGCCATATAGGAGGACTGACATTATATAACAGTTTAGTATTCTCTTCTTTGTTTCTAACAAAATGTTCCTATTTCTTAACACTTTGTTTAGCTTTTGAATGACACCTTTCACTATCCCAATGCGTTTTCTAATTTCAGCATCACATTTTCCATACCTGTTAAAACACTTCCCAGATATTTAAATTATTGTAATTGCTAGATTTTGGCACCACCAATTTGTAATTTGGGCTGTTCCTTTTGCTAATAGCCATGCATTCTACTGAAAAGTTTTAATTGTTGTAAAATTTGAGCCTATCAGCGAGAAGCCAATAGCAGCTATATCCTGCCCAAAAGTAACTTGGAATTGTCTGAGGCAAGAACATTCAATATTAAGTATTTCAAATACCCAAGTCATCTTACAAATCTGAAGATCTGTATTTTAAGTGTCATCTGAACAAGAAAAAGTGTAATAGATTAAATGATTGCTTATCTATATTGAATAATTATGAACATTTATTTTAATCTTCCGTTTTGTGGTCTTCTGTGTTTTGAAAAATATAGAAAAGTAGTTTTAGAAGCCTAATACAAGGGTGTGTCTTAAGAATTGGAGTGAGAGTTACTGTTTTTCTCAATATGCAATAAACTGGAGGTCTTAATAACATTGAAAATCATTTAAAGCAGGAGTTTTCAATTGGGGGGATTTCAGGGTTTGTGGGGGGGATCTTTGACTTTTTCTTGTTTTTTGTTTTACAGAATTTTATTTATTGAATTACAATACCCTGGCATTCTATTGAATATTTGTTTATTGTAGTATGTTTCAGTTTATTTATTTAATAATTAGTTATAAATTAAACAAATTACTGCACATGTATTAAAGTTTAAAAATTCATCAACATTTTTATTGCTATTAAATTTGTAAAATTCCTCTATAAAAATAATCTATGTAAATGTATCTGTACTAATATGGAAAGGAATGAAGATTTTCAATAATGTATGCATGTTATTTGTAATGCATGTTTTGAGGTGGACAATCTCGGAAAGTGAGGAATGACATTCTAACATAATGAAAAGTGTGCATTGGGTAAAAAAAGGTTGAGATTTAGATTTTTTTACTACTATTGTTCACCCAATAAAAGACCCAAAAGCTCCTCAAGGTAGAGGGTTACTAAATGAGCTTGTTATAAGGGCATACAAGGAGAGTAAGAGGTGTATATTATGAGGATATGTAGGATGAATAATGGTTGAATCTATACTCAAAGAGGTTATGATTGTAGCAATTGGAGAAGCAGCCTTTTGGGAATTTGTTCCACAAAGTAACAGTTCTAGGGAAGCAGTATTCCTTACCAAAGGAATATGAAAGGAATGAGAATAACTTGACTCAGTGTACCTGGCATGTAAATAAGAATTTTTATTTTTTTAGAACCACTCCCAGCCTTGTTCTCCAAGACTTGTTGCACTTTCTGATAAGACAATAGCATGCAAAGAAACCCTGGCACAACTTAATTATTATGCAATAAAAACTTGCATGAATTAAATAACAATTTGCATAACTTATAAAAATTGAGAGTACATTTGTACTCAAGGGAAAGAGTGCAAAATTAATACATGTGATAGTCATAATAAAACTTAGGCTCAAGGGTCAGGTAAAAACAGGTGAGAAAGGTAGAAGAGGGCAAGAGAAAGCAGGTAATAATATAATAATCAATGAATTTTATGGAGATTAAAAAAGAGGTTTGGAAAAGATTGATTAAAACTTGAGTCATGTTCTTAAATAACCTTGTCAAATCAAATGGCACCAAATTCATTCAGAAATATCTAAAATGTCAGCTATGTATAACTGATTTCTCAGATCAATGACTAAAAATGGCTTTGAGCAAATGAAGACTGTGGGTCTTAATGATGAACAACCATCTTTGATCCTCATGGACTGGTGCTACAGAATCACAAAGAACTATACTAAATAACAGGAATTACATCACTTGAGTATTTTTTAACAGCAGCAACATCTAAAAATGGATATTGTATGTAACTTTAAGAGAAAATGGTGATATAATCAAAATGTTGATGTTCCAGACTACTTCAAACAAAAGATTTGTAGGGTAATTGGACATGGTCAAATGTAATTGGCAGAAATTCCCAGCAAATAGAAATGACACAAGTTTCCAATAATCAATAACAAAAGAAAGAAAAAAAAACACAGCAAAAATTAATACAAAGCAAACAATATATATATGCAAGACAGAAGTAGGCAAAGCAACAGTAATAAGATAAAATATTCACCAAGAATAGTGTTAACGCACAAAAGAGGTACAGACAAGTGACTGCAGTGTTCTGACTTCAAGACATGAAAGGACATATTGAATGAGACCGAGAGGTGGTCTATTTTATTAGCTAGGAAGAAATCCCAGCATGCATTTGTAAGATTCGTCTATAAATTTGGAGAGGGGAATGTTTTTGCAGTTATTCCACTCAGGATTGAAACCAACAAAGTTAGGAAAGAAGTCCCCATCAATGCTCGAAAGAGTGATAACCTATTTTCCTGAAAAACATTTTTAATTAGAAAAATGTTTTAAATTTCAACCAAAAGTAGCACTGGCTGCTTGGTCAATGAATGCCAAATGTTTCCTTATAAGGAAACAGTTAATATTTCCAATATTACCACTGATCACTTGTTGGTTTGGTTGCTATTCAGTATAGCAATATTCTAAGGATAAGAACTATGCCATACAAAGCAATATTTCATTCATCTGACTTAAATTGTATTCAATTGATAAGCAATTAAACTGAGGCAACAAGGTTTCAGTTCACTATTACCCAGATGGTTGTAAAGTTTTAGCCATAGACTAATCCATTTTCTGTAAAAGAATGTTATTCTTAAGACTAAAGGCCATATCTGAAAGAGTTAAGGTTAAGGTCATGTAAATCATTACTAATGACCGATTCTCACAACACAGCCTTGTACTAAAGTTGACCTAATTCAACAAATGGCTATTCATAAAGCTTTACAAAAAAATTAATTACTTAAAAGTAGTCTAAGGTATTAATTAAATGGAAAGTTTGAGAAAATAAGTAAACTTTTATTTGTTTTAAATAAATAGTAGGAGGCTCTGTCAAATGATAATTTATTAAATGTCTTTTGAAAGGTAGCCTCACAAGGGCAAAACAAAAAAAACTTATTTGATGCATAATGATATTCTGTAGGTAAATTAAGCCTTCTATATGGCAATGAATGGTGGACAATTTCCTCACAGATAAAGAGGAGACTTGAGACAACAAAAATATGGTTCTACAAAAGGACAATTAAAATATCAAGGACTGAACGTGTGAGCACCAAAGAAGTTTTAAGAAAAATTAGAACAAAAAGGACACAGATTCCTAGAATAAAAAAAGAGACAGTTGAAATTAGTAGGAAACATAATGAGAAAAGAGGGCTTTGAGAATTTGACATTCACAGGGCATATTGAAGATGATAAAAACAAAAGGAAACATCAAGTAACCTATTAAACAAGCTTGTATAAATGCAACAAGGAAATTTTAAAGAAAATGGAAACAAAAAGAAAGATTATATATAAAATCTAGAAAGAGACTTCAAATTTCTGAGATGCATAATGAGAAAAAAAGGCCTAGAAAATTTGAAACTCATTTATTGAAAGGAGAGACAAAAGAAAACCGAGTTATTAACAAGCTTGTATAATGAATGGCAAAACAGACTGAGAGCATAGTAAAAAAAAAAAAAAACATAGCTAAAATTTAAGGATAGGAAGTTGTAGAGAGCCATAATATTGCCCACGTCCTGAAGGGTCACAGCACATAAACGAAGAAGAAATCTTTGGAATATGTGTCTATGCAATGAAAAAAATACCTTGGGCAATGTACAAGAAATCTCTAGAAGCAAATGCTGCTCAGTGTTTATGATAAACCATCTAAAAGTCTTTAAGATTCGTAGACATGGGGTTATGTTAAAATCACTGCCTGATATTGTTCAGTCAGTGGGAGTAATTTCAGATACAGATTTATAAAAGCATAACTTTCAAATAAAATAAATATCAACTTTGTCAGAAAATGACACCTGATCATGAACAAAAAACCTCAGGGGTTTTGTAAATTTGTTATAGATGCACAAAAATAAATCTGTTTTGAACTGGACCAAATAGGGAACATGGAAGAAGTTTAATTAACATTTCATGTAGCATCCAACAATACACTAAAACTTTTCCTTGAAAATGTCCTGTTGAAATGTGAGCATGTCTCAGAGGTTTGTGCATGTTTTATACTGTTAAAAAAATAATAAGAATAACAAGTCTAAGAATATAATGAAAATAATAAGACAAAAACTGAGAAGACTAAAACTAAGAAGACAACTAAGAAAGCTAAGATTAAGACAACTAAGAATAAGAAAACTAAGACAAAGACTAAGTATAATGAGACTAACAGTAAGACTAACAATAAGAAGACTCAAATTAAGATTAAGTCTAAGAATGCTAAGAATAAGATTAAAAATGAAACTAAGACTAAGAAGACTAAAACTAAGAATACTGACCAAGATGACTAAGAAGAACGAGACTAAGATGACTAAGACTAAGAAGAACGAGACTAAGATGACTAAGATTAAGAGACTAAGAATAAGAAGATTAAGACTAAAATGTAGATGACTAAGACTCAGCTGACTAAGACTAAAAAGACTAAGACTTACTTAGACAACTAAGAATAAGAAGACTAAGACTCAGTTTAAGACAACTAGTACTAAAACAACTAAGAATAAGATGAGGAAAACTAAGACAACTAGGACAAAGAAAACCAAGATAATCAAGAATAAGAATGCTAAGAATTAGAAGATTAAGACTAAAGACTAAGTTTAAGAAGACTATGAATATAACAACTAAGACTAAAATGACAAAACTAAGACTAACAGTAATAAGACAAAGGAGACTAAGATTAAGAAGACAAAGAACAAGACTAAGAAGAATAAGAAGGCTAAGATGAAGAAGAGTAAGATGACTAAAACTAAGAATACAAAGACTAGGATGGATATGACTAACAATAAGACAACTAAGACTAAAATGTCTAAGAATAAGAAGAGTAAGAATAAGAAAACTAAGATGACTAAGAAGACTAAGATTAGGGAGATTAAGAATAATAAGATTAAGAAGGCTGAGAATAAGAAGACTAAGACAAAGATGGATGAGAGTAAGACAACTAAGAAGACGAAGAATAAGACAAAACTAAGACTAAGAAATAGAAGACTAAGAAGACTAAGAATAAATTTAAGACAACTAAGACTAAAACTAGGAAGACTAAGAAGACTAAGACAACTAAGAAGAATAAGACAACTACGAAGACTAACATGAAGATGACTAACAATAAGATGACTAAGACTAAGCAGACTAAGAAGACTGAGAATAAAAAGACTAAGAATAAGGAGACTAAGACTAATAATAAGATAATTAAAACAACTAAAACTAAGATCACTAAGATTAAGAATATGAAAACTAAGACTAAGTCTAATAAGACTAAGACGACTAAGACTGACTAAGAACATAAAGATGACTAAGAATAACAAGACGAAGACCAAGAATACTAAAAATAAAAAAACTAAGACGAAAACTATGAAGACAAAGAATAAGAAAAATAAGATTTAACTTTTATAGCCACCACTACTAATAGGGTATGCTATCCCTGTTTTCCCTTCCTTACAAACATATTGATGAATTTGTCTAAAAGATGGATCCTTGGATCCAAGAAGGAAATAAGCATAATAGAAATATTTTAAAAAAAAAAAAAAAAGCAAAAACTAAGTGCATTGAAGAAAGAAAAATTCTTCAGAAATTTTTGTTGTGGGGTAGCAAATTTTCAGGTCAATACTGTAACTTGTAAATGGATCAGAGATTTCAATAAACACTTCTGTAATGCTTCAGACATTTCATTTCAATCTATGTTAACTCATTAATGTCCTCTGTAAAACCCACTATATAGGATGTATGTGTGTCTGTGTGTGTGTGTGTGTGTGTGTGTGTGTTGGGAGGGGTTGGTGGCATAACAGTTATCAGAGAAGAAAGTGGGATCAGCATGCCAATTTTAAATTCTGGTTGAGTTTATTGCATTGATTTTTTGCATAAATACCCTTGGAAAAGTATGGATCCAGATCTTCTACCAGTTATAGATTAAATAGCAGTGCAGACTGGGTTCTACAGCCTTGGCTAGTAACCAGTCTAGGAGAAGGAAAACTGAATCCAAAACCAATTGGGGAAGGAGCTGACAACTCATCCCCATAAATCATACTTGCTATAGAAGTCACAACAGCAACACCTAGCATTTTGAGGGTGTAGCTCTATTCACCACCAGGGAATGGCACTAAAGAGAAGGGTGAGAGTAAAAACACACTATTTATAAAAATTAAATGTGTGTTTCCTGGAAGTTACTGGAGTTGTAGAGGTGACACATTTACTGCAGCCATAACAGTAGTGGTATGTCTAGGGCTAGACAATCTGACAGCAGCCAACCCTCTTCAACTTGGTTTTGAATTCAGTCTTTCCTTCTCCTAGACTGGTTGCAACCTCAAGGTGAGAAAGGCTAGTCTGCCCTGCTATATAACCCATAGCAGGAGCAAGATGGATTCATACCTTTTTCAAGTGTATTAGCGCAAAGTAAATGAAACTGAACTGAGCAGGAACTGAATACATCATACCTAATTCACTTTCCATGACACTATCCACATCTCTGGCATTAATTAAATGCTTCTAAATATATATTCTGGTATGTAGGCTTCTAAAAATCTGATATTATTCATAGGTTTCTACTTATAACCTATTAATCTCTATCATCCCAAAAATGGCATAGTGGACATTAATGTTTTAAGCAAACAAATGTTTTTTTTATGCCTTATATTAACTAAATACATAACAGATGAGTTGTTTACATTTGCTAAAATCTTGTATTCTTGTTCAAAAACTGATATGGCAGCACAATTCCACAATGAAATAAAATGACAAGTCCAAAATTGAAGATCCAGGGTCAGAAAAAAAAAATGTCAAAATCATGAATTGTGGGGTCAATGTCAAAAATCCCAATACATGTTAATGGTCAGAAATCCAACACACAATGCAACAATCACTTGCAAGCCAACAGACATATAGAGAAAAATAAACTATCTCCAATTTGCGAATGCCAACTACTTTTATCAACTGAACAATTTTTTCATTGGTCGACAGTTGGAAAAGACAAACAATATTAGCATATCCAAGATGCTTTTATGGCAACAGCTGTGACTGACTTGTTTTTATTTTGTCTCTGACATATTGTACAGAACACACATGCCCTTTTTCTCAGTAAGTGATTTTCTCTTTTGCCACAATTCTAGGTAAACCTAATGAATAATTTTGATTTATTTGAAGACATCCAACATGTGAATCATGAATTAGAATGGAGATAATGAGTGAAGAATGGATCATCTGTACAGAGACAAATACATAAAAGGTTATCAGTAATATATTTTTAAAACAATGATATAAACACAATTGCTTGTGGAAATTTACAAAAAAAGAATTTTTAAATATCCAAAAGCAATTTAAAAATAGGTAATGAAAAAATGCAATTACCTCTTTAGAAATCTGAATCCATGTGAGCATACCAATATGTTTCCATAGGCATCAACTTTAAGTAGGTTTCCATATAATTTATCAAACCACAAACCCCTAAAAAGAAAGATATTTTTCAATTCATAACATGAAATACATAAATACAAACTTATCTTCCTGGCATAATTTTAAACTAACACTATTTTCTCCTTATATATCTAAAACTATAATTTTGAAAATTTCACTGAAACAGGTTAGAAAATTATCAAAATTTCATCTGAATTCAAGAAAATACAAACTTTAAGCAAAATGGTCATAATATATGAAAAAAAAAGACATCAGTTTACACTGACACTTCCTTATTTACACTTTTATATTTACTTGTTTCACATAACTATCATTATAAACTATAATTTTGGAAATTGAAAATTTCATTGAAATATGTGGAAAAATTTCCAAGTTTTCATCTGAAAATTGAAAAATACAAACATTAAGAAAAACAGCTACAATATATGATAAAAAGAAGGCATCAGTTTAAACTGACTCGAAGATGATATGAGTTTGCTTAACAATAGTGATAGAATGCAACAAAGATTTTATCCTTTTTTAGAGCAGAAAATTTAAAAACTGTATTAAATTTTCTTGCTTAAATATAAAACAAGCAAAATTAATATGAGTGAACTCTTTATAAATGATTTATCAGAAATATTTTTGTAATCTTTTTAAAAGTAAAAAAATAAAAAGTGTAAAAAGCTATAAGTCATTTGGAAAGTGTTCTATATTTAATAAAGTGTTGGCTATTTTGTAAAGATTTCCATCTTTATTCACATTACTCTCACTGAAAATGATAAAAAGAGTGTTCCAACAAGTGTTTTTTTTTTTACCTGTGTATACCGATTTCCATATATGGTATCAATGTCCATACTGAAATTACTAACAGACAGCACCCATATCAGAATGGCCAAATAAACCAACTCTAGACACATTTACTTTAAGCCATAGAATAAACTAATAAAATTGTTAAAACACTAATTATAGCTCAAAAAATTCAGTGAATATTCACATTTCTCAAGGTATCAGAAAAAATCTATTAGTTGAAGAGAGACATCATTTGGATAGAATATTGCATTGTAATTTTCTGAATTTATGGACCCAATTATAATATACAGAAGACAATTTTTTTTAACCAACTTAAGATTTTAGCCAGTACTTTGGTCACTTAATTTCTGTACAAGAATTAGTTCTCAAGTTGCTTAAATGGCTTCTTAAAATGTGTGTGTCTAATAAATAGAAAACAAAGAAAGATCAATATAACTAAACTAGTAGAATTAATAGAGCTCCTGAATACAGTATAAAATAATGTATTTAGTAACTTGCTTTTAATTTTTTTTTCTTGGGTTACTCAAGCCATATTGATATTAGTTGTGGTGTTGCTTAGAATTTAATGAAATTTAGTTAAATGTAAGCTTTTAAATAAGTACTTATTAAAAAAAAATGTGTATAAACTATGAAGTTTAATATTTTCCATATTATCATGTATAAGCACTTCAAATATATATAAAGGCAAAAATTAAATTCTATAGTTTTGAAAATAAAAGAATTTATGTAAAAATTGCACACTTATATACATGCAAAGACAATTATTTTGTCTGGATGATTTCCTTATAGGGTGTGTATGTCTGAATAACTAGATAAACATAGCAAGAGATCCATCTTGAAGGGCCGATTCTTTTTAGAAGGTATGTTAGCATGGTAGATATTATTTAATGTAGGACACAGATAATTTGTCCACTCCTTTCTGGACAACTCTGCAGAGTCATATAATGCAGTAGAGAATTGTTATATGAATATTATACAAGTTAATCCCTAAAAATATCTTGATCAAAGCTTTTCACTAGGAGAGTATTAATGAATCTCTTCAATATTGTATATTGTTCATTTCATTTATATTTATTAGAGAGAGAGAGAGAGAGAGAGAGAAAGAGTGTGTGTATGTGATTGATCATTTTTATGGTTTATCAACCTATAGAGGTTACTTTAAAGCCAGAAAATATTTTTTTAGACTAAAATTTTTTTGAGATAATAATGATTTACTGATCCAAGTTCTACTAATTAACCCATATATAGAGGGAGAAGAGGTGGATTCATACATTTCCCCATGTGTAAGCGAATATAACAAACCTGACTGGAATTGGAACTCAGCTCTCTGATTTCCAATTCTGAGACATTATCCATTACACCACCCACACATCCAAGCTTAAAGCACCTGGTATTCTAAGCGGTCACCCATCTAGTTACTGACCAGATTCAATGTTGTTTAACTTTGGTGATCATACAAGAACTGGTGTTTCAACATGATGTAGAGAGGCAGAGAGAGAAAGAGAGTTTGTGTTTTCAACACAGAATTTCTCTCAACCAATTATACTATGTGAGTAGATGTCAAGGAAACAATCAAAACTAAAAGGCTAAGAAGGATAATATTTGAGAAGAGCAAGGTCTTCCAAATGCAAATAATACTTCATTTAACAAACAGCTGATCTCGACAACTTGCTTTGTCAGATTTATCAAGCATATTAACAAGATGATCAGTCTTAGCTAATTAGAAACAGGAAGTAACTTTTAAGTGATACACCTTTGAAAAAAAGCCAACATTTTTAAGCAGCATGCTGTTCCATCATTGCACAACATATTTGATCTTTTCTATGGGTACATTTCTGTCAGCATCAAAAGATACATTAAACATTGGAAACTTTCCCATCCACATTGCATATAAAAGCAAGCATGAACTTGTTACAAGCATCTACAGAGTCATTTATTATTAAGTACAATCCAATAAAACTATAAATTACCAATTTCCAAATGCAAATAAAGAAAACCATCAAACCATGCAGATGGCTAAGTTTCTATCCACTATTTGTTATTTTATCATCAGAATAGTCAATATAATAATCAGAATTAGTATACTATTATAAAATCTTTTTATCTAGTCTATCAGATTACCAACATTACTAATACTAGCAAGAAAGTCATATGTAACCAGCCTTGTTAGTTGAGATGAAGATGTTGATTGCATCTCCCTTATAGAGAGGGTAAAACCTCCTCAAAAAGAGAATATCCTTTTACTATAGCTCTGTCTACATTTTTGACAATCATGCAAGTCAAACTTGTGACTACTTATTTTGACTCCTGTAAACCAAACATATATCTGCCTACCTATTTATTATATGACAGAATAAAGCATAAAATAACTTATATGCCATTCAACTAACCAAACAAATCCATATTTAATTTGAAAAGACAACTCCTGGAAGCTTTAAGCATACTAATGAAAGTAATGCTTCCAGATTTAGAAAAATAGTGCTGCCTTCAAAACTATTTCCAAAGCAAAATATTTTACTCTATAGTTTTCTGGAAGTAACAGTGAGTTATTGCTAATTAAACAAAGTCTGTCTGGAATGTATCCAACAATTTTAGATATTTTGACAGCTAGTTACATAGCATTTATGTAATTTGACAACCAATCAGAAGGAACCTTATTGTACATGGATGAACAGAAACTCTCCCATGGGGTTACTCATTTGGCAGATGAAACTGAGTAAACTTGTATACTGTGCAAATACCAAACAAACAAATTCTTAACATCCTATGCAGAGCTTTTTGAAAAATAACATCACTGTCTGGTTTATCCACCCACCACCTTTACAAACAAGATTTAGTTCATGATTTTTAGCTTTTAACCAAAGCTGTGGATGAGATTGCAGAGTACATGACAAATAGCAATCCTGAAAGTGGACTTTACAGGTTGTTCTGAAATGTAGAAAGGATGTTGGAGTAAGTGCATGAGGTTCCTAAGATACCACTGACCAAGGCAAATTATGTTTTTTCATTAATACCAAATTGTTGGATACTTCCTGGACAGACCTCAAATATGGATGTTTTTTTATGAATATTGTATACTGATTTTGCTTTATGACTTGTTAATTATTATTATAAATTATTTTGGACCTCATTTGTTTTAAGCTTTAAAAATAGACCTTGAATTGATCTCTAAATGGCAGCCTTTGTCTTTTATTTAAGTATTTGACAATTTCAGAAAAGAAATAAAAAAATGGCAATTCTGCATATCATTATGTGTAGATTAATACACTAATGTGTCAAATGTCATCAGTTAACAGAATGTAAAGGTAATGGTAGACCTGTCCAACATTTACCTATAGACTTGTCTATAAACCTGACCATAATTTACCCGTGGACTCAGTTATAAACCTGCCTAATGTTTATCTATAGACTCAATTATAAACCTGACAGATTCAATTATAATAAAAATGGATTTCAACTTTAAATAACTCAACAAGGGCTGATATGTTATAAAATCCATCAACCAACATATTGGTTCAATTTAGTTGTATAATAAACTTCATAATTTGATAGTTGTTAGAGATTTGCTCCAGTTTACATGGACAGTTGTCACCTCACTAGAATACACCTGTATTCCCATGGCCAGACTGAACATGCAGACACACAGTGAACAGTAGTAAACGAGAGGCAACAGGCAGTCTTGCTTCCACCAAATTATAGATAATAGAGACATTTTATTCACCAGTTTTTATATTTAATAAACTTGTTGAAGTTGTCAACAGTGTTCTTCATTTTATTGAAAGAGTTCTTATTCCAGCCTTGATTCCCAACATTGTCCTGGACACAAGACAAAAATTACCATGGCCAGATAGAAATTATATAATCTTGTCTGGTACACAATGTATTTATTAGTCCACCACTAGACTTCACGGTCAATCCCAATATTCTAAGATTTTGGGAAACTCAAATTAAATCTATCGAGATGACACACCATACTCAACTGAAAAGGGAAAAGAAAGTCAGATAACCTGTTAGGTTGGTGTTACTCAACAAAGCTAGTGACTGAATTGGAGAGGAAGAAAAAAACTAGAGAGAGTAAGTAGTAGTAGGAAGTTGAAGGCTACATCATTACAAAAAAAAAAAAGAAGCCAACTTAAGCAATATCAGGCAGAAAATCCTTCTCCTTATAAAGATGGATATCATGTAGAGGTAAAAAGATATTTGAAAAAATTCTTTCTTTCTTTTTATGTGCCATGTCC